TTTTTTCTACTTAATCTTGTTTTTAATGTTGCATATTAACCAGTAATGAGGATGACATCGCTATACGGATGCTGCGAAAATGATCGAAGATAGTAAATGATAATAGTCCACGAACAATATATTTTCATTGTCGGCTTTAATTTATACTAATCAACAAAAACATATGTTGTCGATCTGAATTTTATATAAGTGCTCATGAAATGATTTTGTTACCAAGAAGCTTTGTATGAGCGTGTCATTTTGAATATATATATATATATATATACTATTACCATACTACGGCACCTGAAGTCAAGAAGAGGAGAAGGTGTGAGTGAAAAGAGGAAGTATGGTTATAAGTGTTCTTTCGATTTATAACCATGCTTCAACTTTTAGGTTGGAAAAACGCAGGTACAACACAAAACTGGCGAAACGCGTCTGGAAATCGAAGGAAAAACACGGTAAAAGTCCAATGCATAAAGTGTAGCATTTAGAAGAGAGCAAAATCTGACAAAACAAGTCTTATCAGTTGCAGGTTGTTTCATGAGGAGAAGTTGGCGATTGTCACTTATAAAGACAGTGCGGTGTTGTTGAATGGGAGAACAGAAATAATGTCTAAACGTAGACATGTAAACAAGAATGTTCTCAGCCTGTACGACCGCGGATGAAGAAAAATTATAATTTTTTTTCGCTCATACTTCCTCTCTTTCATGACTTCTAGTGCCGTAGTATGATAATAGTCATGTAGTGTGGTTTGAGGAATAATTGTTGCCACCTGATGGCAATAGCGGGCGAAACCACGGTAATGTGCGGCAGTATACAGAGTTTTACCTCTTTTTATTGTATTAGTTTTCTCTGTATGTATTCCAAAGTTGCTGCATTGAGCACTTTTTAACGTGCGTTTTTGGCACGGTCATTTTTCGGTCATTTAACACACACACACACACACATATATATATATATATATATATATATATATATATATATGCTTTTGTGTAACCAGAAAAAAAGTATAATATAAATGCCCCAATGCGTGCGTTTTTCTCTTTCTGTTTATGTATTGACGCCAATATGTCTGCAATCTATGTTAAGAAAGCATTTATTTTACACAAGTATTTATTTTTCAACAATGTCATTCCTTGTTAATATAATTATCCAATATTCTCTATCGATCGTATAGATAAAGCATCCAGTGAAAATATTAGATCAAAGTGGGAAGAAATCTCATGTGGCTCGATCCAGTCTTGTCGAAGGACGAAAAATGTCATATAGGATTTTTTCCCATTTAATCATTCAGTTACTCACCATTAGTTTGATATATAAAATCTATCTATCTATCTATCTATCTATCTATCTATCTATCTATCTATCTATATGGGTTAAGTTCATTGATAATGAATGAGATTATGTTGAAAAATAAATAGTTGTCTTACGCGTCTCATGATATTTTTCGTTCACTTAACACACACACACACACACACACACACACACATATAAAACGCAATCGTCAGGCACATGTCTTGACGATTGCGTTTAGCTTGAAACAGACTGTTGCCTCTGGGTGTTGACTTCAATGTCCACTATATATTTACATACGCTCTATCCCTATATTGAGCACTTTAACCCATAAATATAGCCTACCTTAAAACTATATTTTATCACACACACACACATATATATATGATAAAATATAGTTTTCAGTATAGTTTTCATATTTTAGATGCTCTAAGTAGATATTTTAGATAACCTAATTAGATTCTTGGGCCCCAAAATGTAGGGCTGTACAAAGATGATAGACTCATTGTTATACCTAAAAGCAATGCTCCTCTAACTTGTGAGTTACGGAAGAAAATCATTAAGGCCTTTCAATTTCTAGGTTTTAAAACTGATATTTCATCTAACTTAAAAATCGTTAATTTCTTAGATGTTACATTTAATCTCTCCAGTAACACTTTCAACCCCTCATATACATCAACGTTAACCACCCCAAATCAGTTATAAAACAGATTCTCAAAACAGTCTATACCAGAATCAACAGACTGTCTTTTAGCTGCAAAATATTTAATGAAAACAAACTTAAATACAATCAAGCCCTCAAAAAGACCAAATTCCAGCAAACATTAAATTATCAAGAAAAACTGACTGAAATTACATCAAATAAATCGAAAAAATAGAAAAAGAAAAATTATATGGTTCAACCCCCATTCTGCAAATTATCTAGCATTAATATAGAAAAATTCTTTATAAGTTAATAGATAAACACTTTAGTAATAACAATACATTGAATAAAATCTTTAATAAAATGAACTTGAAAATTATTTATTCATGTGTAAACAATATGAAGAAAATTATAAATTCCCACAATAATAATCTGATTAAAGAATTTCATATGTATCAAATACAAGAAAATACTTCTATCTGTAATTGCAGGATAAAAAGTGAGTTCCCCGTGGGTGGATTATGTTTGACAGAAAATGCATTTTATGAGGCCACAATCTTTCCCAAAGAAAATATGAACCAGAAAAAGGTTATATTGGAATATCGGCTGGGAATTGGAAGCAACGCTTTTATAACCATCGCCACTCCTTTAATAACGAATCCCTCAAGAATCAAACGGCACTATCTAAATGTTATTGGGAGATTATGAAAAACGGCTTCACTCCGCAGTTTAAATGGAAAATTATCTCCAGGGCTAGAACTTCTAAAAACATTAGAGAAAAATGTGACCTTTGCATTAAAGAGAAAATATTAATCAAATATAATAGACCTGATGAATTACTGAATCACCGTAATGAAATCATCTTCAAATGCAGACATAAAAACCGGTTCAAAATAACAAGCTATACCTAATATATATATATATATATATATATATATATATATATATATATATATATATATATATGTGTGTGTGTGTGTGTGCATGTGTGGGTATGGGTGTACAGAAACAGTAATACAAACATATACAAACGAGAGTGTTACAGCAAGAATGTAGTCAGAGCTGACTGCCAGAAACTTCGATCTCCAAAAGGCAGTACCTGCTCCTCTTTATAGCTGGGAGATTCCACGTGTGAGTGGGTAAATTACCGTAACACACACACACACACACACATATATATATATATATATATAAACAAGTATCTGTCAATTTTTATGAGATGAGGTATTGCAATCTATTTACACTATTTACAATGTTCGAACTATTGTCCTCAACTTTATTGCTATATTGACAACAATTTCGATCGTTGTACGCTCCAGCCTTCATCAGGTGATATTTGTTTGAATTTAGTACCGAACTCACAATAGTCAATCTGTATATTGGCGTTTCTGAAGATTGGCTCAATGATGTTTGTGTAATAAAATTGGATATTCTTCGAATGGGGTCGTCTTCTGTTGTTACTTTCAAGGTCATTTTTAATTTATGTTGTAAAACTCCTGACGTACTTTTGAGCAAGTCTCTATTGGAGACCTCTTTCCTTCTTGTAATCGGCACCTTCACGTAATTTAAGGATGGAATCCTCTGCAATAACCATTGATACAAAAAGTCAGACTAGTTACGATGTATCCTGTTTAAAATCAACAAAAGAATTAGTTGTACTCAAGTAGGAATAAAATCAAATTTTTTACACAATCGTCATCGACCTAAATATATTATATATTCAGAAACGCCAATATTCATATTGACTATTCTGGGTTCAGTTCGAAATTCAAACAGATATCATATGAAGAATGTCGGAGCGTAAAAATTTTGTGAGTGTGAAAAAAAAAAGACGTGGACAACAGTCCGAAGAATGTAAATAGTTTAAATAGATTCCAAACCAGTCTAACTAAAGGAAACTTGCTCTCAACGGACATACTAAGCAGATTAGATCGACTGAAATATAACGTTTAATTAGGCAATAAGACTCTGGTACAAATAATTGTGTTAAAATCAAAACTGCATTCCAAAGTTTAAAACCAGATTTCTAACTTTATTCTGAGATTAACATTAATTAATCATCGTGCTATCTTTGCAACTGGAACACTTATATACTTATAAAATCTGCGACATTGAATTATTTAAAATTTTATCGGGTCATCAAAATTAAGTAACAGAATACTTTGGGATAGGCAAATATTTACTTGACTAAGCCCAACCTATTACAACCTCACTAGTTTGAATTCTACTTTAATCACCACTCTACAAGTTTCACTGCTAAGTATTTAGTCTTTATTTCATCAGAAACTACTGTTACTAATTTAATATTTTTCTATGATCTTTTTTGTCGTCACTATTTAATAAGATTATTTGTTTCCAGATATCTGTTGGGCTTGATGATTTTGTGTAGAATTTGATTTTTAACCTTATTCTATGCTTATAGCAAGATAGAGACATTTTTCTGATACATGAGGCAATATACTGATAGGATTTGGACATTTTTGTACTTACCCACAGTCGCAGGGAATCCCGTATTAAAAAGGTTACCGAGGCCTAAGATTACAATGAAAGGATACATAAATTTTTAATGTGAAAATGAACAAAAGTACCTGGATTTGCTAGATAACTGGAAAAACATTGTGAAATATGAAAATGGTGACTGAACCATACGTATTGGCACACTGGGAACATTTCAGGCATTCTTTACTACAAGACTGGAATAATTAGAGATCAAAGAAAGAACAGAAGTAATTAATACAAAAGATTGACTAAAATTGGTAAAAATACTGACGAAAGTGCTGGAGTGATGAAGAGAATTGTGATATACTACCGATGTGAAAACGTAGTATCACCTCGTTATTATATTAATTAAAACCGGTGAACACTGTGGATGGATTATATAAAACTGTCAAAATTTCTTCGGATTGTATGGGCGTGAGTTTTTAAAATCCTGTTGTTTACTAAAATCTGAAATATTAAAAGGTGAACCAGGAAAAATAGGATTATTAACCACATATAAATTAAAGATTTTTATTTTGCTTAAAAAGAAATGTTGAGAAATTGAAAAAAAACATCAAGTTCAGAAATCAATTAAAAGAAAATGTTAACTTACATATGAAATCATTGGTAGATTCCAAGAGGCTGTAATGGCCGCCTCATAGGCACATGTGTCCTCTGGTCCGATAAAAGCTGCTACCCCACGGATATACATATCCGTCATAGCCTTGATAGCCACCAAAGTGCTACTCTGAGCGTCAACGTAAAAATAATCCAACTTGATTCCTTGATCAGCAAAATCTTTACTTTGATTCACATCTTCAATGGCCGTAAGAAAGGCTCCGGCTGATTTTTTACCCTCTCCACCTTGAAGCATAGCAGGCAGAAACCCAAGCCGAACGGTCAGTGAAGATATCCGATCCACTGTCATTCGCGACGAAGAGTTGCAAGCAGATGTCAAAGAGAGAGAACGGAAAGCGGCTGATGCAGGTTCAACGGCCATCGCCACAATGATGGTCATTAAAGTGATGACGCTGGCGAACACATGATTATGGAGTGATACCGGAGTATGGAATGTATTGAAGAAAGGAAAATGTGAGGGAGGAGAAGTTGAATAAGAATGAAAATTTACGGAAAAAGAAGATATGATAGATGTTTGCTTATCCGCATTACTAATGTTTTCACCACCCCCATCATCTCCTCCTCCTCCGATTGCACTGATTCGTTGATGTCTCCCAAAATGTGGAGCCAAAATTGTCTTATAGAGGTGAGTATCATTTGTCATCGTGTAAACGGTGTTTCATTCTCGATTTTTCGTGAATATACATTCTCGGAAGTAATTTCCAATCCAGTTTCATTTATTTCTTTTTATATTCACGTGTTTGATTATCGATTAAACAATTTCTTGAATTTGTAATGGTAATAATTGGATGAGCAACGATATAGCAAAGTATTTTATCAATTTACTAGATGTTATTTTTTGGATGAGGTTGGCTTTAGGCTACATTGTCAGAGCTCTATGTTACCTCACTAGAGACGAGTTCAAAATCAACAGATTTCGAGCACTCTAATCACGATACTGCAACAAATGACCCAATATAAGAAGCGGATTAAATGTATTTATAACTGCTTAAAATACAGTCTTGTTAAATAAAAATTCATTACGAAGATCCCAGAACAGCATAGTAAACAAAGAAGAGTATTCTTGATGTCGGTGACGGAACGTAACAAAAATCGTAGAATGTACTTATTATTCTTCTCAATGAAATGAATAATCAATGAAATACGGAAAATTACTGAATATATATTACTGAATATATCCAGTATAAATCGAAAATTAGAGTACCAATTATCTGTGCTGTAATTATTGCATCAGGAATAATTAGAATTATTCTTTCTCATTGCCTTTAAATGCATTTTCCTTGCATTCATCTGCAAGCTAAAAACAACTGGTTAAATAATCCACAATAAATCTTTATTATTATTATTATTAATGTTAATTTTTAGCTTCGAGCAGCTCTTTCTTAATCGTGTGTGGATACATTTAATTCAATATTATTTTCTCATATAAGCATAAATACTATGGTCAAATTTCATTGTTGCTCTTGTTGTTCCTCTATCACTGCCGATGAAAAGTCAGAGTAGAATGAGACACGCCTCACATAGGTCCTGGTTGGCGATATAATTGACTGTCCGATGAATACCTTGTTTAAAAAAGGAAAAAATATGATAAATTTAAGAAAAATGAAAGTTAGCATTGACAAGCAACCATACACAAATATTTCTTTGGTTATGAATGATACATTAACCATTGTTGATTTTTGATTAGTATTTCTATTAACTTAATTTCTGTTGCTTTTCATAGCAACTATTGTGATCGTCAGTCCTTAATGATTAGTAAAATTAAGATATACTAATCAAAAATTAATAATGGCTTACAATAATTCATATAATAAATAAATAAGGAAGAATGATATATGTTTGCCTTTTCTGACTTTAATCATATAAATTACGCTTTTATTTTCTGACCCCGAGTAGCTGTATCACTCACATGTTTTTCGCTATATTCTCACGCTACATGTAGATATCTTTGTTGTGCAAATCTCTATTGTGATTCTTAGAGTCTGTCATTATTTTTTTATTTTATTATTATTACAAACTAGAAAATGCTTCACTGTATTTATATATACGAGGAATTTACTGAACAGATTTTGACCGATTAAAGAATCTTACAAAACAAACAAGAAGCCATAATTTTTGGTCCTTTGATCATATATTGCGACACTAGTCGAACGGGGAACTTTTCGGTAGCCTCTGCAGGAATTTGCAAACTTTCTTAAACTTTGTAAAAGTATTTTTCCCTATAACTTCGAAAGCAAAGAAATCACATTCAACTTAGATGATTGCATGAACTGTCTTGCAATTTATAATTAATAATTCGAATGCTTTTATTTGACTGCAAGATCTGAATAGACCTGCATGACATTGATGACAAGATTTCATAAGTTTTGAAGCAGAGTTTCATCTTAACAGGGTCTTTTGAAAGAGATTAAGCTATCCCTCTTTACAAAGTGCCTTCCTTGCTCACAGAACGACTTAATAATAAGATTGTAATCCGAACAGTTCATAAGCATGTTCTTGCGTTCAAACATAACATTGTAAATAACTGCACTGTTCTATTCCAATACAAAATTATTCCTTAATAGCAATCGGCAATGGGACACTATTCTTTTGTAAAATGTTGAGCGATTTGCCTTCAATCTTCCTTTATTCACCTTTACTTTTGACTGCAAAAGATCCCTACATCATAACAAATTACCTGATAGATGTGTGTTTGGGAAAATGTTAATGCTTATGAAGATTCTGCCAATGGTATATACATTCTACGGGGACTAAGTTGAAATTCTTATAAGAGAACATTCTTTTTTGTCACTTGATCCAAGTCACTTTTCACTTATGAGGTTTTCCTTGTGAGCATTGGCTTTCATTTGAGACATCAACACTTGCTTGAATCCCTAGGAATTTGCCGGATATTTCTTGCAATGATATTAAAATAATGCTCAATGCATCTTTTCTTGCATCTCGAATGTGACAACAAGGCGCAGCAGTTAATTTCAGTGACATTTCCGGTTGTTTATTGTGTCGTACATTTCTGACTTTTCGAAAAATGATCTGATCAGCTTTTGCGTAATGTGACCATAACTTTTATTCTCTTCTTAATAAGCCAAAGTTTTGTCTTTTCTTCTTCAGTCAACCTTATTTTATCAACATCTTCAAAACATGGAGAACATATAAGATATGCGATCTATATAGTATTTAAATGATATCTGGCAACTACGTAGAATCATTTCGAACGGATCTTTACAAATATAAAGTTCTAGAAACTTCATGTAAAGATCAGAAAATTATTTTTCAAATAAGTTTTATACTTATTTACATATATGAAAACAAGAATAAATTGAATATAAAATCAAATTTCCAAATTATTTTTTTATATATAACGAATTGCTTACGCTTTTTTAAATTTACAAGGTATATTTGTTAGATGTTTTATAATTATTTTCAACACTGGGCGGACTTTAGTAACGAAATTAGTTTTCTCAAAGACATGAAATTAATGCAAAATGCAGTTCTTTATTTCTTGATGGATTAATTTCGAAAGGTGTGCAGCATATTCGGCAAATCATGGAAAACGCTATGTAACTTAACAGATCATCAAATTGATCAAACTGCTGTAACATAATTTTTAGAATTACTGATTTGACATGTTTCACCAGTGGACTGGAGTCACCAGAAAAATATGTTTATATTAATATCCATTTGCATAGATGAGTTTCTATTACGATAGACATGCAGACAATAATATATCCCATGAGGTACAGCACATTTCACTAGAAGGTGTGGGCTGTACTTGTCAGGATGATTTTTGGAGTTATTTAAGGCATACGCTACCAGGAATCAATGAATCTATTGGAACCTTTTCCGGTCAATCCGAGGGCTCCAACTGCAACTGGGGTTGTTGATGTGCCACAGTTTTGAGATTTCGATTTCAAGCTCCTATTTCAATTGTTATTTTTTAAAGATTTTCAAAGATACATTTCAATCTGCATGGACTGGCATATCAATAAGAAAGCACATTTTGCTTTTGCGGTCTCTGATTACAATGTCGGGGCGGTTAACTTTGATTGTTCTGTCTGTGTGTATTGCAAAACCAGTAAGATTGTTACAGGTCCTATCTCCCTAACCGGGTCTGGGTGGTGTTCATACCAATTTCTTGCAGTTTCCTTTCCGTAAAGGTTGTAGATTTTCCTGCGCAGATATTAGCCTACTTTATCTTGCCAGATTTCATATTCAGTAGGTGCCAAAATCGTGCAACATGATACAAGATGGCTAATTGTTTCTGGATATTTATCACAGAATCTGCATTTTCGGTTAACACAGGTTTTCAGTATGTGAGCTTGATAATTTCTAGTTAGCAAGCATTGGTCCTGTGCAGCAAGAATAAAACTTGCGGTTTCAGGTTTTAACCCTGCATTACGTAGCCACTGATGCGTACGTGGTTTGTCGACATCAGCTTGTTTGGTACGGGCAGAATATTGACCATGAAGACGTTTATTCTGCCATCGTTTCTGTGTCTGGTCGATTACATTTGCCTTTGCTTCCTTTTTTAAGTTTTTTTCAGTTTCAGTAGGTGTAGTATGTTTTACTTGCATTTCTTCACTCACTTGAAACTCCATTTTGAATTGGTGTGCTTCCTTTATTGCTGAATAAAGTTTATTCTTTCATGTTCTTTGAGATAGATCAATATCAAGTCTTACGTAGTTTCCAGGTATCTTTGAAGGACAATTGCTTTAGTTCTGTAAGAGAGTTCTAGTCCTCTGCCTCGTTCAGATCTGGGCGCATACAGACGACTGACATCAGCCTTGTGCTGAAGCATGCGATTGCAAGTGAGAAGCTTTCTCATTTTGGCGTCCATTCGCTTAATATCAGCTATGGTCCAGTTAAGGATGTTGAAACTGTATTATACCACGTGTACACTCAAGGTGTTTATGGCTGATATTCTGCTTTTTTTTAAAAATTCAACTCTGTATTCAATACCACAACTGTACTATTCTTTTCTTACTTTCTCCTTCATTTGGATTTACTGTATTCCATCTCTCACTAATTCCTAGATACTTATAAGCTTCTTCTCGTTTCAGTTGCCTAATCCTTGTGACAAAATCTAGATCTATAAATTGTGTTTCTGTAATTCTAACCTGTCTTGAATATTACTTTTTCGCATTAATTCGAAATATATAAATATATCGCTACTGAAACATTTTACAGTATTGAGTAGACCTTTCAACTCATTGTCATCTTTGGCAAAGAGTTTGAGATCATCCACGTAAAGTAGGTGATTAAGTACTTTCTTGTTTACTTTGTATCCACAGCTATTATTGTGTAGTTCATGCGTAAGGGGGATTAAGGACAGAAAAAACAGAACGGGTGGCATGGAGTCTCCTTGAAATATTCATCGTCGGATATTCAGGGGGTTGAAAATGGCAGTGTCTCTGATGTGATTTAGGTATAATGTGCTTTTCTACATTCCTATACTGGCTTTAAGGAAATTTACTATCATCGAAGAAACTTTGTACATTTTCAAAGCCCGAAGGATTCAAGTGTGTGGCTTACTATCAAAGGTTTTACGGTAATTTATCCATGCTCTGCTGAGATTTCTACCTCTTTTCCTGCAATTTTTCAGGTTTCATTTTGTTTATCTTTGTAACCATAGGAACCTCTCCGACA